ATGCTACTTTCGAACTTTCACAGCTAACATTCCGAGGTGATGTGCAATCTGATGCATCACGGCCGCGGTCACACTTCGAATTGGACTTCATTTCCAACGGTGTAAGAGGTGTCCGCAATGTTGTAAGGTGACGACATTCATTGTAATGTAAAGCTTCGGGCACACTTTCTCAATACGTACCAGGAGGTATATGAGGATAGCCATCTGGTCCTCGTTCTTACCTTTATGACTGGGCTCAACGCTTCTAACTAATTTGAACTAAGGGTTGTTTAACTTTTATGGATTTCGCGTCGTCATTACGGTCGACTTCATCGACAGCCTTTAATTGTCTTTTAAAATCGTTAGCATTAAGAGACAACAATTTTCTAACATCAACAATGACACGTCAAACTTCCCTCACAAGTCTTGTCCGTTATTTCTTAGAAATCTTCATGCTTAAGCCATCCCAATAGCGTGAAAGATTTCATCTCTTCGGTTTATGTCTTTCAGCTAAATTTTTCAAAATATTCACTTAACAAGTACATTATAGAGTCAAATGTTATTTATCATATTTTTGCTGGAGATTAGTACCGACAATACAGCCAGGCATTCCATTTGGCAGACTTTGGTGAAAGGTGTATGGAGGCCTTTTATTCTTTCAAACCTTAAGAGATGTCAATGTCTCGCTTGGCTACCATTATTGGTTTCATAATATACTTTTATGACTCTTGCAAATGTCTTTCATCGTATCTCGCTGCGATCTTAATTTCCAGTCGTTGAGCGTTTAGTTTCCTGGTATGAGCCCCGGTGACGGATTCATGGAATATCTGTAAAATTTAAATACTTTACGCCGTTAATATTAGTTGAAACGCTTGCTGGTGTGTCAAACAAGCTCCGTGTTCGTCTCAACAATCTTATGCAACAGGTGATCGAATGCCATGGTAGAAACCTCCTTAAATATCTTCCGGCCTAATGGATTCAACATTTGAAGCGGATGTGCCGTCTAAACAATGACTAATTACTGGCATTCTTGAGATGTTCATCTACAGTAGTAATTAAGCGAATTCTTTACTACTAATTCGCTTATCAGTATCTGCACTAGTTCTGTAAATTTACGTTTAATTCTGTGTTAATGGTTTATTTGACATTTTGAGTTCAAAATAGTCGAAGCAATTTATGAATTTAAATGGTGCATAAATTAACTGACGTTGATTTTCACATAGAAGATGCACCCGGAGTACAAAGAAAATCGGACCCGGGTGAATTCCACAGAAGCTTTAACCTATGTACTACAAGTGACTTGAAAATGTTATCCAACGACTTAAAAGACGACTTGAAAGTGTAAAAACCATTAAAATTCATCATCGAGCTTTCTGCAGTAGTATCAGAAAGTGTGAAGTAATTAGAAAGTTTAAAACAAGTGTCAACTTAGGTGCTTTTGAAGCACTTTATCATTATTTAGAGGGATGATCTCAACATTTGCGTATTCCGGAAACGAAAGAATAATTTTATCAGGTTTATACTTTGTCACTCATTCACCTACGCATCGCGGCAATCTTCGCTGAATATACATTTGTTTGACTCTAGTATGAGACGCGGTCCTGCGTTCCAAGCACTG